AATGTATTTACTTAAAAGTTTAGATATAAGTAGTCAAAATAAATATTTATCATTCAATTATAAATTTTTTGTATATTTTTTTATATTTAATACAATTTAATAATTATTTAGTGATTATAATTACAAAATAGATAATTATTAAATTTTTTAATGATGGTACAAAAATAATTTATTTAAATTATTTGTAAATATTAATGAAACTGAGAAATGTGTATTCATAATATTAATAGAGAAATTTGATAATTTTTTTTAAAAAATAATATAGCACTGTACCAATTGTCAATGAAATAATTTTTAAAATTGGCATTTGAGCATCACCAACATGAAACATCTTGCTGAAAGAAGGATGCCAACTATTCATTAGATTATCAACAACAAGAGTCTTGTTGCTGAAAGTACATGGATTTACTATTCATTGGATTATCAGCAACAAGAGACATGTTGCTAAAAAGTGGGTGGCTACACTCTCCCCTCTAACTTTTAGCAACACAAGCCACATTGCTGAAAATATATTTTTAGCAACGTGACTTGTGTTGCTGAAAATGAAGCCGAATTCCAATGTCGGATTCCCTTTTTTTGTCATCGGTTTACCACTAATTTTTAGCAACATTAGTCACGTTGCTAAAACCTTATCTTCAGCAACATGGCTTATGTTGCTGAAAGGGGTGAGAAATTTCACCCCCCACCCTCACTGGATTCCGATGACTCATTTCAGCAACACAAGCTACGTTACTGATACTATATTTTCAGCAATGTAGATCATGTTGCTGATATATCAACAACAAAATTTTGGTTGGTAATGTATTACCTACCAAGCCTTCTCCAACAAAAAAACTTTAGCAAGCAAAGCCATGTTGCTGAAGGACTTTCAGTAACATGGGAACCACTTTCAGCAACATGGAAGCATGTTGCCGAGGGTGAGGATTTTAGTAGTGGGAGTAGGCTGCACGAGGAAACAAGGGGGATAAGATAGAAGGAATGGTTATGGGCCGATGTGGCATGACCAGGGTCCCTCCCACTAAAAATTGGAATTGAAAATGATTATTTTAATAAAACGTTGAAGTTTAACACTTATCTGTGAAATGAACGCCGTTACGCTAACGTTAGTAACGGTGTCAATTGAGGGAGGACAATATATTGTCTTTCCGAGGTAAAGGGACGACAACAGTACTTTTGGAGAGTAGAGGGATGACAATGGACTTTTTTGGTGAAAAGGGATGACATTGAACGAAAATGCATAGTACAAGGACGATAATTAGCTTTAACCCTCTCAAAAATTATAAAGAAAGTATTGTAACCTTGTCTATTTTATGCTTAGTATATTACTTTTAACTATTAATAAAGAAGTTAAATCTTTTAATAATAAGTTTTTAATAGTCTATCTTTTTATTAATAATTAAAAAAATTTTATATTAAAAATGTAATAATCATTTTTTATTATTAATTTATATAAAAAATAAAAATTAACTTAAATTTTAATAATCATTTAATTAAATCATTTTATGTGATATTAATATTAAAAAAATTATTTTTGTAATTTTTTATATAAATTATTGAGAAAAAATTTTAATACATACACTTTTAAACTATATTAATTAAAAAACCTTAATAATTAAATTTAAGGATAAACCACACTTAACTTGTCTGAATTATAAAATATTTAGTGTTACTAACTTTCTAAAAAGTTGTTGTCATTTTTCTGTAGGTTTTTTCAATTTTTTGAAAAATTAAAATATTTTATTTTTAAAATATAAAAAATATTCTTATCCGTATATTCAGGAGTGCATGAGCATTACACCTGCTTCAAGCTTCAAGAGTGTTCTACCATGCAGCACCTTCTAAGATTCAGACACCAATCTGAGTAAGATCGTTCCCATCCATCACAGCAGCCACTAATCCAGTGATAAGACTGCTTTTGGATCATTTCAAATACTGTTTCTGACGTCACATGTTTATCTGCAAAAATTATATCATTTATTGACCAAATAAAGACAAACCAAACCACTTGCCACCCTTCATGATTTCTACCTGGCCAAGCATGTTAGTTGAAGACATCTTTACAATTATTATGCCTAACGTAAACAGTGTTTCTGACGTCACATGTTTATCTGCAATAATTATATCATTTCTTGCTATGCACATTGACCAAATAAAGACAAACCAAACCACTTGCCACCCTTCATGATTTCTACCTGGCCAAGCATGTTGGTTTAAGACATCTTTACAATTGTTATGCCTAACGTAAACAGTGTTTCTGACGTCACATGTTTATCTGCAAAAATTATATCATTTCTTGCTATGCACATTGACCAAATAAAGACAAACCAAATCACTTGCCACCCTTTATAATTTCCAGCTGGCCAACATGTTGGTTGAAGACATCTTTACAATTATTATGCCGGAGGAAAGTTACCTTCCACCAGTACAACATTTTTCTGTAGGTGTGGTGATTGTGCCACACAAAATCAGTCTTTTATAAATATTAATTTTTTTAGGCTTTTTCAAAATATTAATGAATATAATATTTAAAAATATTATTTTATAAATTTATTTTAATAATGACTAATAAATATTAATTTTTTAATTAATCATAAATTAATAATTATAGTCACCATCTATCCTTAAATAGAGGGATAAGGATAAATAATATCTAAAAAAATATAAAAACAAATATCTTCAAATTATTGACTAATCTAAATTATTTAATATTTAACTGTAAATGTCCAGCATGGTCAAAATATTCGTTGGGCCCATGCTAGGATGGCTCTTTCCTACACGTTGCAAGCGTGCCTGTAGCACCCACTCATTTGTTTTACACCGTGCACCATTCTAGCTCAATTTGTTAGACCATACCATGTGGTCCCTTTCCCTTCTTTTCCAAACCTGCAAACAAGAGTTTGTATCGCTGTAATTTTGCATCCATAAGTAAAAGGATTTTAATAAATTGAATTCTCAAGCAAGAAGAAGGTTTGATAAGTAGACGTATTTTAGATTGGAGAAATCATCATAAATCATGACTTGATTTCTTTTTTCTTTATGCTTTTACTTTTTTGTTTTCATATTATTTCTGTAATTTTTTATTGTTTAATTAAATTAAAAATTTGGATAAGGATTTGAGTTTTCAATAATGTTAAAGTCTTATATTTTGATGTGCAGCATTTTTAATATGAAGAAGGAGAGAGAAAAAATTAGGGTGAAAAAAAGGATAATAATTATATGTTGAGATAGAAGAAATTATAATTGAATAAAAAAATAAATAAATACTAATATAAAGAGGGAAATAAAAGTGGATGTCTTATATAATGATAAATTGTGTTGAGGGAAGCTAGGAGATGGAATCACGAGAAAAACTAAAGTAAAGATATGTGAAATATATCAATGAACAATATTACCAAGTTGCATTCTTTATATTTTGATTTAAAAGTTTATAATAGACAACGAGAAAGAAAATTGTGGATAAACAAGAAGATATATAATGATAGTCAACAATGCAAAGAATAGTTAAAATAGAATAATAAAGAGGGAAGATGAAAAGGGAAAAAAATAAAAATATAAGGAAATTTGGATAAACAAAAAGGTTGTTTATATTACATTTTTTATTATTAATTTATATAAAAAATAAAAGTTGATTTAATTTTGTTCACGTTTAATTGAATTCTTTCACATTACATTATTGTTAAAATAAATTTTGTTTTTATAATTTTTTATATAAATTAATAATTAAAAACTATAATAAATGCATCATTACTTCTAAAATTTCAATATCCAGTCAATGCAAAATGCAAACAGTTAACTAGTCCCCTATCAACCACCATCGAAAAATCAGTGCAAGCACAAAACTCTTTAAAGGCAACTGTGAGGGTCACCAATGGTATCTCATATTGCTCAATGTAGTAGAAACAAACCGCCACATCCCACGGTCCAAAAAAAGGACAGAAGAATATTTTTGAAATGGAAAAAGTTAAAACCAGTTCAAGAATTGGCAAAGTTCAAATTTCTCAAAACAATAACCAGATCTAACAATTTATCATAAACTTAATACAAATGCAATTACTATCTTTGACATCTATGACAGCCTTGTTTACAACAAATAAAAAGCATGATCCCAAAGTATCAGGAGCATAATATCCACACTTCGAGAGAAAATATCAGTTTATTTCCAAGAGAGGAATAATTAGAATTCATGAGATTGAAGGAAAATATTTGGTGTCAAAAGAAGCTTACTTGGTGACATGGAGATCCCAAATATTCATGGCTGATACATCCTTAAAAACATCTCTGCCTGTCTCACCGGCCTCCAAGTCAACACCCACTTTGGCATTTCCAAATGCATTTTTCATACAGGCTTGATATGACATCCATAGCATTCAGCCCAGCATTCTCTGCCAGGGTTCTTGGTATCATTTCAAAACTTTCAGCAAATTTAGCGATAGTATCCTGATCCAATCTGCAAAAAGTTTGTAGAAGTTAGGTTAAAAACCAACCTTCCTAATTCCAATAGTCCCCTAAGGGAAAACTATCTTCACAAACTTAACAGCAAGAACTAACATTCCAGAATACGCGAAATATAAATGCAGTAACTGCTTCAAAATGTATAGAATAAAATGGTCTGACTCTGTCCAGAAGACATGGTGGCCATGCAGATTTGGTACCATCAAGGAAAACACATGAAATAATCCTATGCAAGTATTACCCTATTTCTTTATAAGAAAACTCTTCAACTCAATTTTAGTAGCTACATCTCCAGGTACCATACCACTATCTCTGCACATTACCTGACCACCCAAAGGAAAAAGAACAGTATAGAGCAAACAATTATACAGCTGCCAATGAAATTCACATCTAACAAGAACACAATTAACCATTCCAAAGGCCAACAAAAACAGAACATGACAAGGTTTATAGAGATGAAATACTACAAACTGGTTGGAAGAAAGAGAAGAAAAAAATTATTAAACAAAATCACCTTATACATATTCACTCCATCATCAATGGTTCTCTTAAGATGATTTGATATACTATCAATACTTCCTTGAAGAACCAGAGTAGAAACTCTATTTCCACCTTCTTCACATCGTAAAATAGTGATCTACAGTTAAAGAAAGACAAGTAAAACCTAAACAAAAAATTGAAATAAAGATAATGTGACTGAAGTTCTTTATCATATACCTGAACTCCACCAATTTCCTCAACCGAAACTGAATCAACATATTCCAGGTCATATGGCTTTGGCTGGCTGAGTTTCAACTGTTGGAAAAATTCAGGTATGTTAGAGAGCAAAATATACAGTTCCTAACATAATCTAGAAATAACTTGCTTACAAGAGCAACAGCATCAGTTGTGTGGCAAAATCATCGCAGTTCAAACTTTGAGCTGATGTTAAGACCATTAGCTTCAAGGAGAAACTTCAAAATTAAAAGCCAATGCTATGGAGGATCGAGACAAAAACATTTACAAATATCAAAAATTGAGTATCAAACATTTTTTTTGGCCATCAACTATCAAAGTCCTTTAGTAAGCTTGCATCTTATTCTGATGAAGACAAGAAAGAACAAAGTTGAGAATTATTAGGGAACAGAAAAAAAGAACTAGGAAGGTCGATGTACTTGTAACGCTCACAGAAATGCAATGCCATTTCACCAACTGCTCCACCACTAACAATAACTTTGGCACCAGAATCAGCCACTGCTTTGATGAGCTCCTCAACCTTAGCTTCCTCAATTTTTGCATAATTCTCTAGCTGCATTATGACACTGTGTTAACCTTTAAAGTTTTAGCATCAAATTAGTAAAAGAAGCATATAAATACTTTCAGAAAAAGACATGGAAAAGCATTTGGAAATAAAGTGAGAGAGGCAGTTAAGGCATGACATTATCTAGTATTGAGGATTGGGAAACCATGCATGAAGACTAGTAGACAACCATAGGGATGAAAGGATGATGGCATCTACTTAAAAAAGCACTCCATCCACCAAACAATTTTACAAGGGAATATTTCATAATGAATTCAGTGAATTGTACAAAGGAAGAGAGATGATTTTGCAAAAATTTGAGGATCTGCTTAAGCCTTACCTGTTCAGCACTGTGGATTAAGACAGTTCCTTTTGTTTCAGTGGCTGAGGCATCAACACCACTAACAAACACAGCTACCTGAAAAAGGGCAATGCACGCATACCTGTTAGAGATTCCAGGACTAAGAAATCCAACCTTTCAATAACAAATTGACAAAAATGAAATAAATAGAAAAATAACCCCACACCTTTGCCTTCTCCATTTGCTTTATACTTCCCACTGCATCGGTTTTCAAAACCATACCCCGAACTATTGTGCATTTGTGCTGTTATGCAGACCTCCTCCTAAGAGCTTTGCAACACGCACATTATCAGCATCAAAACTTGCTGGGTTCTTAGGGGCAAACCTGGATACATGCCTTCAGTACAAAAGGGGGGAAGAAAATGGTTGCCACAATTGGACAAAGAGCTAATAAAATAACCACTCACTGGAAAAATGAATAGGATAGTCAATTAATATTCAATCAGCTATAAGGGAACATAAAACATCTTCTCGTCCAAATTGCTTGCTAGCAACAGCAGCTTTCATTCTGGTGATAACTTGCTCCTTAACCCCGACATCCATACTTTCTGAACCTTTCTCTGCTAGCTCACCTAAAATCTCAACAGTCTGCATATATTACAAATAGGTATTAGAACAGTTTAATATATCCAAAAAGGTTGAGAATGATCTTTCCATTCCATCCCGTTGGCATTGCATTGAGGAACCTTGTTTATAGATTTGGTATATCCACTGATGATCTCACTTGGGTGCAGGCCAGTCCTACTTAGCTCCTCTGCACTTTGGAGAAGCTCTCCAGCAAACGAAATGGTCAAATTAGCACCATCACCAATTTCTTCCTGTTGAGCCTTGCCTGCCATAACCAATATCTTGGCAGCAGGGCGTTGAACCTCAAGCTCATTTACAATAGTAGCAGCATCATTTGTGACAAACAGCTTGTCCAAATGATTTATAACCATCTTATTCATACTTGAGTTCAAAGAAATTACAAGGAAAATTACAGAACCCTTCTATAGAAAAAAGAATCAGAAAAACGAGACAAATAAAAACTGCTCAAATGGAGGAAAGTAACAAGTTCATGGTTTTATGTTGGCGGATTTGCTCTCTTAACAGTGAGTAATTCGACCCCATCCTCTGTTTCATTCATTTCAAATCCAAAAAATAAAAAATTATTGAATAATTTGCAAAATAAAACTACGGTATTATCCAGAGCCATTTTAAGCCATTAAATTCTCCAAAAAAAAAAAAAAATCTAGCAAATATTGCTTAATAGAATGGTTATAACTAAGCACCATTCAAGTAAAAAAAAAAAATCCGATTAGAGTATAGCTTAAAATT